CGTTACTGTAACCTATAAAACACAGACTAACCTTCTGAAATTCTTAGGAGCGCAACCAAGTAACCAGCAGTTAGGTCTCGACGCCTCTTCCTCTTCTGAACCTGCGGGAACATCCTGCGTTTCAGGCTCCCTATCAAGGAGAAGCCTGTGTTGCATCCCCCTGAGCACCACCCTCTTGGGTGGGAAATTGGAGCAGTGGTCCTGGACTTAGCTGCTGCGCTCCTTGGTGCCACCTTTCCCGACGACTGGGACGTATATGGAACGTTTGCAGTCCCTAGGCCATCCCTTTGCTTTCCACATTTGTCCACGTAGTCTTGTTAGGGTTTTGACAGATTCTGTCTCTGTGGCTGGAAATAGTTCTATCTGCACCCCATGAGGCATTCCCGTGTTTAACATCTGTTCGACAGGTATTGTAAAAATGCTTCGCCTCAGTCTTTGACTTAGGTGCTAGGGTTTCTTTTAATCTCCTTCCCTACTCCCCGAACGGGGGGGTACTTTAAAAAAAAATTTTTGCTAACGTACTTTTTACATCATTTAACTCACTTGGTGATGTATTTTTTTTAGACTGAGGAAATAAAGAAACAGGGGTCTTGTCTTTGAAATCCATAGTGTTTGCATAACAGGGACTTAAGTACTTGTTAAATAATGACAGCTCTTTGAGGGCAGAGGTTCTTCTGAGCTGCTTGGAAACAATTCTGAGCTGGACGTGATTTATTCTGTTTTCCTCTGTGAAGCCCCTACTTTCACAATGAAAAGTTCTCGTATTTTTAAGGCATTTGTGGTCTGTACAATCTAATTTTTTTTTTTTTTTTTTAATGTAACAGATACTTTTGGAAACTGATAGCTGGACGTCAAGTGAGCATCCAAAGAAGAGCTTCGGTTTTTCAACAATATTCTTTTAAAAAGAACTGGCTGCCACGATGTCAGTCTACGCAGCACACAGTAGGAACAGCAGTGATATCCTCGGTGCTCCTCCTTCCCAAAGGAGCTCATCACCGAAGGACCTCAGCCACGGGAGCAGCCTGAGGCTGAATTCGAGGTCGGACATGTCAGAACGTGAGAACGATGACCCGTTACTGAGATCTGCGACGAAAATCAGAGACATAAATTGCACTTATGTTATTTCCGCCTGTAAGACACCCGGAGATATGCCCCTTACCCCTAAGCCTGCAGGTAGATTGACCCTTCAGAGAAGAGTGACAAGGGCCAAAGAATTGTCATCGCTTGGTAGCAAGGTGGGAGAGTCACCTGAAAAAAAGACAGAAACACGTCTGAGGTTACAGCGTTGTGCTCAGACAGGTTCTGGGGACAAGCGGACAACAGCTGGAACAGGACCTGTGGACAGGTGGACAACAGTTGGGACACGTTCTGTGGACAAGCAGACAGCGACACGGAGCGTGGGAGGTGCTGCAGAAAGCAGTTGTGCTTCTCGGGAAACCGGTATGAACGTAAAGATTGTCAACAGTGATAGAAACACTCTTGTTGCACCTTCTACACCCTCAGCTGGAGACACAAAAGACACCGAACTGGTGGCCGATGAAAAATACGAAGGAAGATTTTCTGCCCTCAGGCGGGCAAACGAGAGCGTGACTCGCAGGGACTTGAGTCACAGCACGCCCACCCGTTCCCAGAGTCAGACCGAGGCCGTGGGATCGGGACACTCGGCCACAAAGCCCTTTCAGAGCACGTTGGACGTCAGAGTGTTGGGAACAGGAAAGTTACATCACAGAAGCCTTGGGAAGGACGCTGCCAAAAATACAAATAAGTTTGAAAGCCTAGAAAAAAGGACACCTACAAAGCATATGGCGGAGCACAGATGGGCCCCGAGGTGCGGCACGTGGCAGCCTCAGGGCCCGGCTGCGTCCCGGGAAAACAGGAGGCCCAGCTCTCAAGTTCAACAGAAGCCTGAACATTCTGTTCTCAGAAACAAGAGGGAGGGATCGCAGGAACACGCTGTTCCCCCCCAGGAGGAAGCTGCAGCTCTGAGCACCTCCACGGAGAGGGACCCCTTAAAAGTGGAGAACAGTCAGGTGACAGTGGCTGTCCGTGTGAGGCCCTTCAGCAAGAGGTACGTCATACTTCAATTCTCACCTGAGGGTATTTTTCCAGAGAGAGTGGGGTGGGGGGAGAAACCTCGAGGTGAGAGACATGTCAGTTGGTTGCCTCCCACACACACCCTGCCCGGGGCTGGGGCTCGAGTCTGCAACTTTGGTACGTGCCCTGACCCGGAATCGAACCACGACCTCTTGGTGTGCTGGTGATGCTCAACCGTGGAACCACTCCGGCCGGGCTGATGACTTTTCTCTGCTTCTTTTTGAAGAGAGAAGGTTGAGAATGCGACCCAGGCTGTCTTCCTGAATGGGGAAGAAATAGCCGTGAGACATCCCGACATGAGACACGTGTACAGTTTTATTTACGACGTCTTGTTCTGGTCCTTTGACGAGTGTCACCCTCGCTACGCCAGCCAGGCCACGGTGTACGAGGCCCTGGCGGCCCCGCTCCTCGCCCGCGCCCTGGAAGGCTACAACGCCTGCCTCTTCGCCTACGGGCAGACGGGCTCCGGGAAGTCGTACACGTGAGTGTTGCTGCGGACGCAGCTCTCCGGGAAGGCCTGCGTCTTTCGTGAGGAGCAGGGTGGTTCGATAGGGAGTGTGCAGTTCTGAAACCACCTAATTAGTTTTACTCCCCCCCNNNCCCCCCCCGGTTCATGATGAATTTTCCAGGATGATGGGATTTGGTGAAGAGCCGGGAATAATTCCAAGATTCTGCGAAGACCTTTTCGCTCAAGTGGCCAAAAAACAAACCCAAGAGGTGCGTTCTCACGGGACCCGCAGCCTTCACGTTAGGCTGGATGATCGGGTTGAAGTCAGTCGTGGCCACTGAGGAAGCACTCACAGGGAGGCGTGGTCCTACTTCCGGGTCGCACTTCTTCGGGGCCGCCGTGGGCCAGAGGGGTTCCTGACTAATCAGCTCCTCCCAGTGGGCAGGTGGAGGGGGCACGTGTTTCACTGGGGAAGCCGCGAGCCACTGCACGCATCTCTGCAGCCCGGCCAGCGCACAGACTCCGGGAGGTCACAGCCTCAGCTTAGACCATGAAGCAGACGAGAGAAGCTGGAAACGCTGGCTGGACTTGGCAGCGTGGAGTTTAACTCCCGGCCCCTGTGGTTCAGAGAGCGTCATGGGGAAACAGGCCAGTCAGCAGCCAAGGACAGTCCATTAAATGCTAAGTCGACTGAACGCTGTCCTAGAATAAGAGCAGCCTGTGTGAGAATAGTAGGAGTGGAGGGAGGCAGGTTTTCTTAGAGGAGGGACAGCTGGACTTACTTGGAAGGAAACAGCAGTTACTAGCTGGGGAAGAGGGGACGGGCCTTGCAGGCAGAGGCAGCTGGGAGCCTGGAACGTGAGAGGAGGACCGAGATGGAGCGGGAGAGGCAGGCGGAACTCGGCTTTATGACCCGCGTGTCCCGGAACGGAGAAGGCTCCGGAAGGGCTTTAAGGATGGAAGAAACAGGATCAGATTTGCTCTTTTGAAAAACACACAACAGCTCTGGCTGCGGTATGCAAGCGGGAAGAGAGCACGCAGAGCCTGGGGCAGGGCCGGGCGTTGGGACTGTGAGCTGTGCGAGGACAGCAGGGGACCGAGGTGGAGGCAGGGGCTGAACTAGGGGCCCCGGTGCGGAGGCCTCAGTGAGCAGAGCGACGCAGTGATGACTGGACATGGAGGGCGAGTGAGAGGAGTTCGTGTTCCCGGTTGGAGAACCGGCAGGGAGTCCCTGGCGTTTGCTGAGAACGAGAGAGGAAGGCAGGGTTGGGGGGATGATGGGCTGTGTCTCCCCCCATTGTGAGGACATCACCTGTCTGCCACCTTCCTCCCTCCAGCCTCTCACCCAAGTAAGTAAGTGGTGGTTTCCCTCCTACTAGGTCAGGTACCAGCTTGAAATGAGCTTCTTTGAAGTATATAATGAAAAAATCCATGACCTTCTGGTTGGCAAAGGTGAAAGTGGGCAGAGAAAGCAACCGGTAAGATTTAAACCATTTATTATTGGTTTTTAATTGCTGTTTTTATAAGTGATTCTATTATCAAGATGACTTAAATTTTTGCTAAGATGCTGTTACATGATAGGTGCTTGCGATCTGCAGTCGAACTATATTGTTACTTAGTAAATAAGCTGAACATTATTCTTAGTGGAAACTAAGTTATTAAATTTAACCTTTTTATTTTAAGCAAGTGTTGTGTACAAGTTAAAGATAAGCGGTCCAACCAAATCATGGACCAAATAAGTTGAATACTCAATCCTGAAAAGTCTATAAAGCTAAAAAGCAGTAAAGCTCACACAAACTATTATAGCAATGCATTTCACTGGATTTATCAAGTTGATATCCTATAGATAATTCCCATGAAAAAGAAAATTTCACAAATAAGCTTTTAAAAAAAACCATTAGAATTAAAATTTTTAACTTTGAAAGGGGCCTTGGAGAGCAAGAAGTTACAAGGTGGACAGAGGCCCCTCGACCTGCTCCCGGTCACACTCTGGACTGGGCCACACCCGGAAGGTCCGACCCAGCTTGGCCTTTTCTTCCCTGACGTCCACTTTTAAAATGTCTGGTCCCAGAGTAAAGTGACGTGACACTGACAAAAGTGTTAAGCGTCTGCAGTGTATTGAACACAGCGTAGAGAGGGGTGCAAAGCTTACGAACAGCTTGTGCCGGCCATCAGCGTAAAGCCGCCAGGTGCTGGGCGCGGTGCACATGCGCTCGCTGTCAGGTGGAAGCTGCGAGGTGCCGAGGCCGTTTTGATGCCTGCGGGTTTGTTTTCGTGAGAACCTTGATGTTCGTTCCCACGTGAAGTGAAGACGGATCTCTTTACCTCAGGCTCAGTATAGGAAGAGCCATTGAAAACTGCCGTTTGTATGGACACGGCCATGCTCTTACCGACGCTCACTCTGTCCACAGCTGCGGGTCCGGGAGCACCCCGTCTCTGGGCCGTACGTTGAGGCTCTGGCCGTGTGAGTAGACTGTGAACTGTGCGTTTTCCTGTTTATACCTCGCGGCGCCTGCAAGGGCCTGGCTCAGTATTAATCACACTGAGTGGGAAATACTCAGTTTTCCTCCCTCTCGCCCCCCGGTTCCCTCTCAGCTGCTGTTTCTGTTCCTTTAAGCTGTCGGGGAAGGTGCAGGACGAGGTCAGTGTTAGTTTGAAATGCGCTGAGTCACTTTGTTTTTAAAACTCCAGCTACTGCGCTGGAAGGGAGGGGGGTGCTTGGGGTAGGTCCAGCTCATGGAATAAACCCGGGTTAGTGTCGAGACCCACGCACGGCGTGCTCGCCTCACACGTGGGGCGGCTACACATGCAGCTGTGCTTGTGGTCGGCGTCCCCCTGTGGTCTCAGGGCTCACGCCTGGATGCGTCACGTGAAGGTGCTCAGGTGCTTTGCTGTTTATTGTGCGAGAACAGGTGTTAATCATCAGTAAACTCCACCTTGTCTTTTTTAAAACAGGAACGCTGTCAGTTCTTACTCCGATGTCCAGGTAAGTGGTTGTATTTCATCTTCTTTCTACTAAATAGAATGATCGTCATCGTGAGTACATATAAGAATATTTCTCCGTAATTGCTGGTTGTACAAGTAAGAGGTTAATCTTGTTAACTTATGAACTGATTTTATTAAACTTTATTCAAAATAAAACCTTAAGCTGGCATGATGGTCAATTTTTATTTTTAGATTTATAGAAATTGCCTTTTCAAGTTGCTTCCTGAGCCAGGTTTCAGTGGTAGGCAGATGGACAGAGGGAACACAGACTGTTGAGTGATAAACATTTATGAGTAGTTCTGTTTTATGAACTTGTGAGTGTGGGTGTCACGGGGCTGCTAGCTGAACGTGCTCCTGGTGAGTCCCAGGGGGCCTGGCCCCAGCACGGACACCTCCCACCTCCCTCTCTCCAGGGCTGGCTGCAGCTGGGGAGCAAGCAGCGGGCCACGGCCGCCACCGGCATGAACGACAAGAGCTCCCGGTCCCACTCGGTGCTCACCCTGGTGATGACCTGCACCCAGGTACGTGCCCGGACCAGGAACCGACTCCTGCGACCTTGTGGTGCACAGGACGGCGTTCCAGCCAACGGGGGCACCTGGCCAGGGCTTGTTTTTAAACCCTTTGTGCATGAAGCTGCTTATCTGTCTGTGGTGTTTCGTTGGTGTAATTGTTTAGCTGTGGCTCTTAGGTCTTTAAAGCCATTTTCCTCATTTGGGTGTAACCCGAGCACTGCTCAGTGTGTTCTTGACTCTGAATCAGACGCTGTCACAGGTTTGAGAAGGATCGTTTCAAAAATGAGCGGCTCTGTGATGTTGTACGCTGTTCCCTTTTGGAGGCTCACGTCGGTGGTGAGTCGTGAAAGAACTGACGACCTGTCACTTTAAACTCACTTTGCCGCAGACGGAGCGTGTGGGTGGGGAAGAGCATGACCACAGAGTTACCAGCCGCATCAACCTGGTGGACCTGGCGGGCAGCGAGCGCTGCGGGCCGGCCGGGACCAGCGGGCAGCAGCTGAAGGTGAGAGCGCCCTTCCCCGGCCTCGGGAGGGACTCGCTACGTTTACAGACGAAATGCTCCCAACAAGAAGCCTCCCTCTCCCTGGGGCTTGCAGGCTGCACGGCTGGGGTTTAAGGAGAGGTCCCTGCTCTTGGTTGTGATCACCTCCCAAGAAAGTCAGCTCCTGCTGACTACGAGCAAGCTGGTAGTTCGTGGGAGAAAGCATTTCGTCAACAGTTACGAGAGGGAGACGTGTATGCGTGAAGCACGTTTATTCTGAGCAGCGACCTGACGCGCGGTTTTCCTTGGGCACAGGAAGGCGTGAGCATCAACAAGTCCCTGCTGACCCTGGGCAAGGTCGTGTCTGCGCTCGCGGAGCACGGGAGCCAGAGGAGGGTGTTCGTCCCGTACCGAGAGTCCGTCCTGACGTGGCAAGTGTCCTTTGAACTTGTAAAGCGCTGTGTCCTTTGTGACAGGGAAGGGTTCCTTCTGGAGCAGGTGTCTCGTAATCACGGTGTGAGTGCCACCTGGGGACCGGGAGGGGAAAGCTGCTGTTTTCAAAGCCCTTCGAAAGTTAAGAGCTGTGCAGCTCATTCATTAGTAAGATGGGCCTTTTAGTCTCTTTCCCTCTAAAATTGGGCTTTTGCAGCTAATAGAAAACAAGGTTTGATTATGTTCATTCGTCACTTCCCACATTTGTTGAGCACCCACCTGCTCGCAAAGGTGATGGTGGCCCTGGACACAGGTGACCATCCCCAGAGTCTCCCCTGGCGTGGCTCATGGTCTGGGGTGGGGAGAGAGGCCTCTCACTAAACAGCTGAGAGTTAACCGTGTTTTAATAAGATCCGTGCGCAGGTGATTGTTTCATGAAATAGTAAAAAGTCTAAGAGAAAATAAAGTGTCCATGAGACATAGAAACAGCTACGAGCACCAGGGAAATGCTCGCCAAGTTCAGAGTGTGGCCCTGCCTCCTGCGCCCCACGCGTTGGCTTTCTGCCGCCTTGGAAATTCCTGCTGTCAGCTGCAGAAGCCAAGTCTAATCATGACTTTCCCCTTGAAGGCTGTTGAAAGAAAGCCTGGGCGGCAACTCCAAGACGGCCATGGTGGCCACGGTGAGCCCGGCCGCCAGCAGCGTGGAGGAGACGCTGAGCACCCTCCGCTACGCCCGCCAGGCCCGCAGCATAGTCAACGTGGCCAGGGTTAACGAAGACACGAGCGCCCAGCTCATCCGAGGTGAGGGTCCCAGGCACGCGGGCCTCAGGCGTTAACACAGGACCGTTCTTCAGGTCGCGGCGAGGTGGGGACTAGGTAATGCAGGTGCGGCGACGTTGACCCCGCAGGGATCCTGGTTCACTGAGTAACATTTAAAACTCCCAGTAAAGTGGAAATCGGAGCATCAGCTGACTGGAAATTAAATGAAATGTCACCAACGGCGCATCTTCTTATGAACGTGTAGAACTGAAAGCAGAAATCGAGAAGCTGAAAGCGGCTCAAAGAAGCCGTCTGAGTGTTGACCCCGAGCGATACCGGCTCTGCCGGCAAGAAATCACGTCGCTAAGGATGAAGCTGCACCAGCAGGAGCGAGACATGGCGGAGATGCAGAGGTGGGCGGCCCGGCAGCGGGGCCGAGGGGACGCTGCTCTGCCCGCCCCCACT